AGATCTCTTGTACTTAGTTATCTGCATGTTGTCTCCTCCATTACATTGAGCTCCTTGAGTACAGGGGCTGTCTTTTTCCTTTCTTTATATTGCCAGTACTGAGCACAGTGCCTGACATGGAGTGAGTAATGTTTATCGAATATCTGACTATTATCTTTGTACTTCCATAAATCCTCCAGAAAAAGGTATGCCCGATGTGCTAGACTTCTTTCCCGAAGTCTTTTAATGTTACGTGATTGCTAGTTCTGTACGTGAGCTGTCCTTAAGCTTATTATCTCCTTCACTCTTGACACAACTGGTCTACCTTCTTTTCGAATCATATGTCCTCTGTGCATCTTTTATGCCACTTCTTCTATTGCACTCATCATTGATAATAGGCTGTAGCCTTTTCACACGTATATCTCACCATTGCACACCACCATGTTGATTCTTTGAAGACGTTAGTGTTTCATGATCATAGCCATGAAGTATCACAAGAAGATTAGTGTTGGAATTTTGTTTAGAATTTGTCATGGCAACATTAAAATTACTGCACATATTCTCCAAAAGAAATCCAGCCTTTCTTTTCCTTCTGTTCAGCCCTTGAACTAGCTCAGTGATTCCCCTGCATATCACTGTCTAGATGATAACATTCTTTAACCATTTTTCCCCCTTCAGGAAAGTGAATTATTATGCAATGGAAGAGCTTGTGAGGGGAATGAGAGGAGTATGCCATGTGCTGTCCTTGACCTCCAAATTTACCAGACACCCCAGCTCAAAGCCCCAGTGGCCTTGCTCTAGTTACAGCTCCCTGACACAATGCTTATAAATGGTTGTTGAATTTTAATTTTAATCCTCAGTTGGAATTTTTTCAACACTTTATGTTAAGGGGAAGAAGGGATGGATAACAGCAAAACACATTAAGATCTTTTTTTTACCAAAAAAAAAAAGCAGATACCTTCTGAGATGTGTCTAGAGGTCATCATATTATGTCTATACTTCCCATACTCACACACCTCTCTGCTACTGTATGATTATAATCAGCATTTAACATAATGGCCCCAAAGCGCTTAAGACCTTCACATCATTAAAGATTCATTCATATTCATTCTATTGTACTTATCAAGGCAGAAAAATGGATAAATACATTTTAGGAAGATTTTCAAAAAGAACTAAAACAATAGGTATTCTTGCTATATTTTCCTGATTGAATTATTTTGGTATTCTTTTAATATTTTTTTCCAAAAGTATACCAAAAGTATAATATAAAAATTTGCTTGTTGCAGGTAGAGGTTTAGAATAGTAAATCATAACAGTTTTCAACTATTTCTTTGTTCTTTTATATGTTAGCAAATATACTGAAGATTTGGAGAATGAATAGACTTGACACTTCACTGAGATTCACAAATTTGCGGTTGTGGGATTTAATGTCTGTCATCTCAGCAATGAGTTGCATCTCCCATTTGATCATTTTGCTTTTGCTGAAGTGTCTGTCAGCCTAAATGACAACAGAAGGAACTGCGAGTCAAGCTTGGTGTATATCTGAGTGAAAGCTGTCAGGCATAAGATCCACAATTTCTGACAAAACACTTCCCATATTGAAAGTTGCAACTAATATAAGTTTGTTCATAGAGAAAAATAATCCTGTATTTTTGCCCCTTTAGGGTCAAACTTTGAAGGCATTTAATGTCTTTCTGTCTGTTTGTCTCTCCCCAAAGCCTCCTTTCTTTCTTTCTTTCTCTCTCTCTCTCTCTCTTCACACACACACATGTGCGTGCACACACACATACATTTGTATCTCTACAACCTAAATGACTTAAACTTTATGAAAGCACTTCCAAGCTGTGAGGTGCTATAAAAATGAGTTGTCATGATCAAATCACCATAATAAGCTTCAGTGTTTTGGGTATAGTGGAAAGAATATTGGTCAGAAGACCTCAATTTGAGTAACAGCTCCAACACGGACTAGTTCTGTTACACTAGGCAGGCCACTACATATTTTTTTGAGTTAATCTCTGTAAAATAGGAATGCTTATACTTATACCACCTCCATCACAAGGTTGTTATGGGGAAAGGCAGGCAGGCAACAAACATTTCTTAAATGCTTACTATGTGCCAGGCACTGTGCTAAGATCAGGAGATACAAATATAAACAAAAAGGAAAGAAGGCCCTGCCCTTAGAGAGCTTACATCCTAAAAGGAAGACATTTCCTAAGAGGAAGCTGAAAAGCAGATGTGTGTTGGCAAAGTCCAGAGTCAGAAGCAGAGCAGGGAGAGGAATTAAGGATGACTGGCCTGGACCATTCCCCAAAATGATGTCCCAAGGAGGAACTCACCAGTAGGGAGAAGGGGAAAGCCTTTTCTAACCTTATAAACTTTAAAGCACTACTTAAATGCTAGTTATTAAATAGGTAGCTTGACATAGAGGAAAGAGCATTGGATTTGGAGTCAGGAAGATCTGGGTTCAGATACCACTTCAGATACTAGCTGCATGACACTGAGCAAGTCCCTTAATCTTTCTCAGCCTCTGCTCCCTCATTTTTAAAATGGGGGTGATAATAGCATCTACTTCACATAATTCAGTCAATAAACTTTTATGAAGTATCTATTATGTATCAGGCATTGATTGTGCTAAGTGATGAGGTAACAAAAAGAGGCAAAGGACAGTCCCTGCTGTCAAGGAGCTTACGGTCTAATTGGGGAGACAATATGCGAACAAATATTTACAAAGCAAGCTATATACAGGACAAATAGGAATTAATTAACAGAGGGAAGGCATTGGAATTAAAAGAAGTTATAACGAACAAGAAGGCTTCCAGCAGAAGGAGGTATTATAGTTTGAGATGTAAAAGAAGCCGAGGAATTCAGGAGCCAGAGATGTGAAAGGAAAGCATTCCAGGAATGGAGGACAGGCAGAGAGAATGCCTAGAGATGAAATGACTTGTTTGTGGAGCAGGCCAAGAGGCCAGGGTGACTGGATCAAACAGTATGTGTCAGTGAGTAAGGTATAAGACTAGAAACATAGAATAGAGCTAAGTTATGAAGGGTTTTGAAAACCAAATGGAAGATTTCATGTTTAATTCTTAAGGCAATAGGGAGCCAGTGGAATTTATTGAGTAGGGAGATGACATGGTTGGATTTGTACTTTAGGAAAATTACTTTAGTGGATGGAGGATGAATTATAGTGGGGAGAGACCTGAGACAGGCACACTCACCCACCACTAATACAGTAGTCCAGGCTCGAGGTTATGAGGGCCTACCTTAGAATGGTGGCAATGTCAGAGGAGAGAGAAGGGGACTTATTTGGGAGATGTTGCAAAGGTAGAGTTGCAGAGGTGTTATAGAGGTGTTGACAGGCCTTGGCAACAGCTTGGATATGGGGCGGTGAGAGATAGTGAGAAATCCAGGATGACTCCTAGGTTGTGAGCCTGAGAGACTGGGAGGGTAGTGTTGCCCTCTATAGTAACAAGAAAGGTAGGATTGGGGGAATATCTGGGGGAAAGATAATGAGTTCTGTTTTTGCAAAACTTAAAATATTATAGAATTGTCAGTTATTATCATCTACAGAGATACCTGTTCTCTGATTCTGTTTCCTTTGAAATTGATGAAAGGGATACCATGTGTGAAGAGGTAGAATGGTATAATGGATAGAATTCTGGACTTGGAGTCAGGAAAGGCCTGTGTTTAATTCCCACCTTGGTCACTTAATAGCTGTGTGACCTTGGACAAATCAATCACTTCATCTCTCCTAGCCTCAGTTTCCTTTATCAATAAAATGACGATAATAACTGTAGTACCTCAGAAGGTTGTTCAGAGGCTTAGCTGAAATCATGTAAAGTACTTTGCAAACTTTAAAGATCTCTATCAATGTCGATTTACATGTGTCATTTTATAGATATTTTTCATTAGCAGTATCTCTTTTCTCTGATCCATTAGGGAAGATCTTATTGGTGAATATGTGAGAGGGCAGACTCCCTGTGTGTCAAATGTAAAATTAGGGAATTGGATTTGATGGTCTTGAAGGATCTTCTAGCACTAAATCTTATGATTCTGAAAGTTGGTAGTTATTCTGACCAGCTTCATCTGTTGCATGTTGTCCTTTAAGAAGTAACCCACTTTCATCATCTGACCCTCAGGACCGAACCAAGAAAATCATAATGTGAGCTTAGAAACTTTATTTTCCCCTTTCTTAGCACAAACTAGGGTTGCTGAACGTGATTATTTGCCACAGTATACAGTTTCTGAAACAAATGTATCCACATGGCTTCATTAGGACACATTTCAGCATCTGAATGAAGTTGTCCTAGTTAGTAATAACTGGCTATCAATTTAATGAGCTATTAGAAAGGAGAATAGGCTGCCTCTCTTCAGTCCAGGTCCTCAAGCAAAGGCTGGCTGGCTGACCCAGCTGTTGGGTTATGTTGTACAGGAGATTCTTATTCAGGGACCTCTTGGACTAGATTTGGCTTCTGAGGCCCTGCTCAACTCTGAGGTTATGTAATTGTTTGTGATTGTTAAGTCAAACTCTGAAAGAACAACACACAATAGTTCTTGATAGTGCATGAGTTCTTCCTGATTCACTAGAGTTGTTATTCCTAATAATTTCTTGATTTACGTGCAGAGTTCCCCAGTCTGTGGAAAACAACACTCTCCTTTGATGGCTGGTGAGGACATTTTAGAAGGTGAACTAGGAGTGAGCTTGTTTTGTTAAGTGCAGTCTCTGAGTGTGGGGTTCTTAATGTTTTGGGGGACACTGACTCTTTTGACAGTCTGATGAAGCCTGTGGACCCTTTCTCAGAATAATACTTTTAAATGCATAAAATAAAATTCATGAGATTGCAAAAGAAACCAATTATATTGGAATGCAATGATCAAAATGAAACACACATACACACACATTCATGAAACATGTTGAGAACCAGTATCGTAGGCTAACTCTTAAAATTTTGTCTGTGATTTCTTTCCTCAGTCACTACTACTGGACTTTCAAATTAGAAACTTTTTTTTTAATCTCCTTTCAGCTAAGAAAAAGAAACCCAAACTTTTAAATAAGTTTGACAAGACTATTAAATCTGAACTTGATGCTGCAGAGAAACTACGCAAAAAGGTAGGTCTGCATTCTTGTTTAGCTCAGAAATATATTTTTTGTTTTTCTTGTTGTTGTTGATGATGATGATGTTATGTGTGAATTTCTGTGGTATAGTAGAAGTAACTCTGGATTGAGGGTTGTGAGACTTGAGTTGTAGCCCCAACACTCTAATACCATAGGTAAATCACTTTACTCCTATAACTCTTTTTCATCTGTAAAATAATGAAGAAAAGAAGCATTTATTAAATGCTTACTATATGCCAGGAACTGTACTAAGTGCTTTACAAATATCTTATTTTAGAGATACTTCCCTACCTGGGATATAGATCCCATTATTATCTACATTTTACAGTTAGGGAAACCGAGGCAGTGACTTTTCCTGTAGGAAGAATTAGTGCAGTTCTATGTCTTATCTCAGAAAAACACTGATGTTAGATTATTGACAGAATTATTGGTTTAATTAAATTTTTAGCGATGTTAATAAAGATGGTATTTTCTATTCAGTTGAACACAATTTCAAACATAGGCACAAATGATATTTATTTATGTAAGCTGTAGTTTAGTTAATCAGTGAAATAAAGTTCATTCCCAATTAAGGTTCAAATAAAGTACTGGGGGGAAATATGTTGCTGCTTGTTCCCAGGGTTCTTAAATCAGATTATATTTCTATGATTTGGGATTTGGCTGTTCATTGATGGTGCATCATAGGATATTTCAGTAGGGTGGCATTTTGTTAAAAAAAATCATTTGGTCACATTTATTATGTACAGTGTTATTCCTGTTGTTTGAATCTGAGGGTTTTAAGAATATTATTTTTATGGGGGCAGCTAAGTGATACAGTGGATAGAGCACTGGCCCTGGAGTCAGGAGGACTCAAGTTCAAATCTGGTCTCAGACCAGATACTTGACACTTACTAGCTGTGTGACCCCAGGCAAGTCACTTAACCTCAATTGCCTTGCCAAAAAAAAAAAAAAAAAAGAAAAGAAAAGAAATATTATTTTAAAAAAATAAACATTTGTCATTACACAAATGAATTCCCACACAACATCTTATATAAGAAATGAAGTGGCAATCCAAAAAAAGTTAACTTTCAGAAAAGGTATGGATGTTTAAATAACTATTTAATTAATTTTTTTTTGTGAAAATAAGTGAAAATCTGAGAGGACGATGGGTCCTTCAGTTAGCTTCTCCCAAAGTCTACTTACTACTCTCACTTGCCCTATAATCCCAGACAGCTAAGTGACTGTATTCTACTTGCTTTAAATTAACCCAATGTTACTGGTTAACTTTAAACTTGGAAGAATATAAAAGGGAAGAGAAAGGGGAGAGACTAATAGCTAAATGAAAAAAAATATTTCAAGAAGTTTTAGAATTGAATATTTTGTCTGGCCACAATGTTTTTACTTTACTTTTTTTTAAGTAATGACTATGATTATGGAATTATGGTGCCCCTTTACTAATACCATCAGTTACAATAGTTTGGATTTAATATAGGTAAAGAAAGTCTCCATTCCAAATCCCAGACAATCCTTCTTCTGGGACGGTAGATGAAGTGCCAAACCTGAAGTCAGGAAGACTCATCTTTCTGAGTTCAAATCTGGCTGCAGACACTTCCTAGGTATATGACCCTGGATTAGTCATTTAACCCTGTTTGTCTCAGTTTCCTATCTGAGCTGGAGAAGGAAATGGCAAATCATTCCGGTATCTTTGCCACGAAAACCCCAAATAGGGTCTTGAGGAGTCAGACATGACTGAAAAATGACTCAATAACAACAACAACAATTTTGAAAGCAGCATGGGCAAAGGGTTGACCTTAGAGTCATAAAGGCCTGGGTTCAAATCCTTCTTCCAACACTTAGTAGCATTTCAACATGAACAATTCATTTAATTTCTTGGTAGCTTGAGGCATCTCTCCAGTGAGTTGCCAGTGTGCATCTGTGAAGAGAGTTTTGACCCTGGGATTTCCCTATATTGATGGAAACACAAGTATGCTCCTTCTTTCCAAAAAGTTAACATTTTACTGTATTGCATATGAAACTTAAAATAAATTCTTCTTCTCCATCAGGGAAAAATTGAGGATGCTATGAATGCCTTTGAAGAACTAGTGCACAAGTACCCACAGAGTCCACGAGCTCGATATGGGAAAGCTCAGGTAACAGTGGATTGTTCTGTCAGTAGGCCTCACTTGGCTGACTTCCATATTTTTCATGTGTTCATATTCTCTAAACTCTGCCTTTCTTCTTTATTCCCATTTCTTTAAGTAGGCCATCTCTAATTTGTGTCTAGTTTGTACAAACCTAAATAGGAAATGCTGTGTTTGCATGTGGCTTGTTATTATAACTGTGTTGCATATTACTATATTTACTGAAATTTTCCCTCCTCACACATCCTTCAATCACCAAGAAAAAAATGTTTTTTCTCAGATAATTTTCTACCATCTGTTTTGAATCAGTAACTTTTAGCAAAGAAAATCCATGGAGTTTTGCCTCTCTCTGTCTCTCTCTTCCTTCTTCTTCTTCTTTCTTCTTCTTCTTCTTCTTCTTCTTCTTCTTCTTCTTCTTTCTTTTTCTTTCTTCTTCTTCTTCCTTCTTCTTCCTTCTTCCTTCTTTGTTCTTCCTTCTTTTTCCTTCTTTGTTCTTCTTCTTCCTTCTTATTCCTTCTTCCTTCTTCTTCTTCCTTCTTCTTCCTTCTTCCTTCTTCTTCCTTCTTTCTTCTTCTTCTTCTTCTTCCTTCTTTCTTCTTCATCTTCTTCTTCTTCTTCTTCTTCTTCTTTGTCTCTCTCTACCTCTCTCTTTCCCTCTCTCCTCTGTCTCTCTCTCTCTTGCTGTCTTTCTTTATTCTTTGTTGCAATATGGGTCTCTGGAGAAAGGAGAAATCCATTTAGTAATAAAGGTAACACAAAACCCAAATATAAATAAACAAATTTAAAATGTATCTTACTTTGAAAAAAAGAGCATCAGTCAACTAGAAGCAGGAGAGTATTTCCTTAGGTGGTATTTTTTATATAAAATACAATCTTTTCATCTTCAGAGTGGGAGGTTCTTTACTCATTATTCCACTCTGCCCTGGGTGTGTTTCTCTTTACTTCCTTTTCTATTTCTATATCGTCCATCTTTTGTGGGCTGTTGTGCTAAGTTTATTCACTGGTGAACTGTTGGGTGGGTGCTCATCACCTCCAACCCTGTGGGGAGGTATTAAAACAGTGAACTTGGCTATAGCAGCTACTTAGTCTTTTCCTCTCAAGAACCCTGGCTGTGAGTATGAAACTTGAATATGAAAGCAAATAAAATCCCTCAAATAAATATCACTGTACTTTTTCTCACTGACTGTACTTTTTTCTGGCTGTGGCATACCTAATAACACCTTTATGCGTGGAACCTTATAACTTACTTGCTCTGAGATGAATATGGCAGAAAACCAGGACCCAGAAGTTAATATAATTTCTCTCATCCAGTTTTAGAAAGAAAAAAATATTAGGGGAGAATTATGACTTCATATGGTACTCCTCAACCCTGCTAGCCTCGGTTTATGTTGACAACAGCTGCATTGTTTCTGTCACAGTGGAGAACAAATTTTACACATAATATCCATAAATTATTTAAGTTTGTTTGTTGTTGAGCAGCATAAACCACGGACAAGAGAAAATGAATAGTGTTACCAAAGTAACAAATCAAATTTGGCCTCAGACATTTATTAGCTATATGACCCTGGGCAAGTCACTTCACCCTGTTTGCCTCAGTTTCCTCATCTGTAAAATGAGCTGGAGAAGGAAATGGCAAACCACTCCAGTATCTTTGCCAGGAAAACCCCAAATGAGATCATGAAGAGTTGGATACAACTGAACAGACCCAACAGCAACAATATTGAACGATTGAAGACTTGAGCAGATGGGGTCCAGAAATCACCCATTGTTTTGGCTCCTTTGTGTTATAAAATCCTGATGTTGTGATCCATATTTTTGGGAGGTGAAATTAAGAGTCATTTGAACCTGTGATGTCATCAGTGTAGGAAACTGCAGGTGTGGAAGCTTCCTCCACTGACCTAGTTGGGTAACTTATTTATAACAGTCTCAGAGAGTTGCTTGAAGGTGCTGGAGCAGTTAAATGATTTACCCATGGCAACACAGCCAGTTTTCAGAGTCTAAACCTAGCTTTCTATCAACCATGCCTCATCATCTCTGTGATGCAACTAAAATGTGACTTAAAGCAGAAATGTTAACTTGTACAAATTGAATTTTAATAGTGAGAAATTGAAAAAAAACAAACTTTAAATTATTGTTGTTGTTCAGTAGTGTCTTACTTAACTCTTTGTGACTCCATTTAGGGTTTTCCTGGCAAAGGTAGTGGAGTGGTTTGCCATTTCCTTCTCCAGCTCATTTATTTTCAGATGAGGAAACTGAGGCAAATAGGGTTAAGTTACTTGCCCGGGATCACACAGCTGGTAAATGTCTGAGACCAGATTTGAATTTAGGAAAATAAGTCTACCTGACTCTGGACCCAGCACTCTTGAGAAGAGAATCACATGAAGGAAAATCATCTATTGGATGAGTTTTTCAGGAAAGAAATTTTCAGGATGGAATTAATATTCTGGCCTCTTTATCATGGACTCTCCTGTGACATTGTGTGTAATTTTTCAGGTCCAAAATGATTTCCTAGTTATGATATGTTTCATTTCAGTGGGTTATAATATATGTTGGGATATCTTAGTAGATTGTTTTTCCTTTTTAATAATTGTATAAAAGTCTCAGAAAAGGACCTGACAGAGGGCAACATGTGATCTCAAAGAGTACTGATACCTTTTTACTCTTTAGATGAATCTGAAAATTACCACAGCTTAATCCCATGAACACTAGAGTCACAAGTAAGAACTGTGAATTATATAATTAACTCATTTTATGGTCTAGTAGAAATAATTTTTGAGGCAGATAATGACATATCACACAGGGAATTTGAATGGATGACCTAATTATAGACAATATCGGTTTTCATGTAAATGATTAGTTGTAGATTATAACATCTATTCTGTTCAACTACTCTTATCAATAGGCTTTAGACTGATAGCATCAATCTGGCATTATTAAGCTTATTTTTCAAAGTGATTGTCTTATCAGATTCATGCAGTAGATTTCTGAGAATTAAGAACTATTCATAAAACTGGTCTATTTTTCAAAGGCTTGAAAGTATATGAACATGGTAGTTTATAAAATGATGAAAGTTAAAAGAAATAGGTATAATTCAAATTTTAAGGATTTTATCATTTTTTTCTATTCAGATTGAACTAATTTAATGATAATTTATCTCAAGAAAGGCTAACTTTATAACAGGTTTCTTTACACAGACATTGCTATAGATAAAATGACAGAGTTGAATGGGCCTTTTCAGAATCAAGATTACTGAAATGTCTTTACTTTGGGTAGGTCCTCATGGTACAGGGTTTTATCCTCACTTTGTAGATGTAGAAACTTTAGCATTTCTCCAAAATTTTCAGTGATCTCTTCTCAGTCTTCATTGATCCTGACCTCTTTGTAGCCTTTGATAGTGTTAATCACCTTCTCTTCTCTAAGATTTTTGTGACACAGATCCCTCTTGGTTCTCTATTGGTAGGATGCTTAGTACAGTGCCTGGCACATAGTAAGTACTATGTAATTGCTTATTCTCTCCCCTGCCTTTCTCCTATCTGTCTGACCCTCTTTTTCTCTATCTCCTTTGTTATATGTACATCCATGTCAGATCTGCTGACTGTGGGGTACCCCTCAAGGCTCAGTCCTGGGACCTTTTATCTTTTCCTTATGATAGTCTCACACTTGTAGTATCTCATTGTTTCTACCTTCACAACATCTTTCTACTTCTCTCACATAGCCATCATCATAATTTAGATACTTATTTCTTGCCTCATCTATTGCAATAGCTTGATATTTTGTTTTGCTGTCTCAAATTTCTCTCCATTATAACTCATTTTCTACTAACCTGCAAAAATAATTTTCCTAAATCATAGTGACCATGTCACTGTCCTTGCCCAGTAAATTATATTGGCTCCCTGTTACTTCCAAGATCAAATATAATGTCCTCTATTTGGCATTTAGGACAGCTAGGTTGTATATAGTGGATATAGTGCCAGGCCTGGAATTCATCTTCCTGAGTTCAAATGTGACCTCAGATACTTACTAGCTGTGTGACTTTGGGCAAGTCACTTAATCCTGTTTGCCTCAGTTTCCTCATCTGTAAAATGAGCTAGAGAAGGAAATGGCAAACCATTCCAGTATCTTTACCAAGAAAACCCCAAATGGGGTCATGAAGAGTCAGACATGATTGAAGAACAACTGAACTGCATTTGGCATTTAAAGCTTTTCACAATCGAATCCCTTCCTGCCTTTCTGGTATTCTTACATGTTACTCTTCTTCACATTGATCCAGCTCCACTGGCCTACTCGTTGTGCCTCAAACATGACCGTTCACTTCTGTCTCCATGATTTTAGATATGTATGGAATGTTCTTGCCTTCCATCTTTTAACTTGCCTGACTTCCTTCAAGAAAAATCACAAACACATCCTTCTCCAGGAATTTCTTGATCCTCCAGCTCCTAGAACTTTTTTTTTTAAGGTTACTTTCCATCTAAGGTTACTTTCTATCTACTCTGTGTGTACATTGTGTATGCCTTTCATTTACATATTGCCATGCCCATTAGAATGCAAGCTTCTTGGGGGCAGGGACTGGACTTTCCTTGTACCCCTTGTGCTTGGCATAGTAACTGGCACATAAGCTTGTTGACAGATTGATTGATACTTCACCCACAGCTGATCAGGTTCTGGGAATTGATTAAAGGTGACCAAATTAAAAAAAAAAACTGCTTCATAAACCTTGTGCTGATTTGGTAAGTATATTCACCTAACTGACCAAATTATATACTGGACAGTTGTTTGGTGGAATGTAATTAGAGCAGAAGGATTCAAGTATTCTTGGGATGATTTCCATTAAGCCATGATAATTAGATGAATTATCCTCCCCTTTAGGATTATTTCTTCTTAAAAGATCAGAGTAACTCTTTCTCCTGGACTTTGCTGAACACCAACTTGACACATTTTTACTTTCCAGCTTTCCATTTTTGATATTCCTTACTAGTAATCCCAAACTTCTGACATAGCTCTTGCTCTCTGACCCACAGTTTCCAAGATGAAAGTTTATTTTTACGTTAGTCACATTTCAGATGAATTTGTTAATTTTTATTCTTTTAGGAAGGCCTCCAAAAATCTCTGCTGAGATATAGAGGACACCATCATATTCTTATCAGCAGGAAGGGGAAGGAGAAAGGGAAAGGAATAATCATTTATACAGCACCTACTATGTGCCAGGCACTGTGCTAAGCACTTTACAAATATTATCTGATTGGATCCTCACAACAACTCTACAAAGTTGGTGCTGATATATCACCATTTTACAGTTGAGGAAACTGAGGCAAATAGATTAAGTGACTTGCTCATGGTCATATAGCTAATAAGTTTCTGTTGTCAAATTTGAACTCATGGCTTCCTGATTCCAAGCCTACTACATCATCTAGCTGTCTCTAAGCAGATCAGTTAGATCATCTCTTAGGAAGGATTTTTCCAGAGAAGACTTCTATACACACATACCTATCTCATGAATGTATGCTGATGTTGGCTGGTTTCTATTTTAAAGTATCATTTTCTGAACTTATGGGGTCACAACTTATAAATTAACTATAAAAATAAATATTAGCAAAGTAGCATAGAGATAGCAAAAAATAGAATAGTCACAGGTAGGTATGATAGTGTACAACGTACTGGACTTAGATCTGAGTTCTTGCTTCACATACTTACTAGATAATAATAGCTAACATGTTATATCAATTACTATGTGCCAGGTGCAGTGTTAAGCACCTTATAATTATTATCTTAATTCATCCTCATAACAACTCTGGGAGTAAGTGGTATTAACTTCATTTTACAGATGACAAAATTGAAGTTGACAGAGGTTAAGTGACTTGCCTAGGGTCATGCAGCTAGTATGTTTCTGAGGCTGGATTTGAACTCAGATTTTCCCGACTAGAGACTCAGAACTCTACTCTGCTGCCTAGCTGCCCCCTCAGGCAAATCATTTAACCTCTCTCAGTCTCAGTTTCCTCATATATAAAACAGAGGTAATAGGAATGCCTATTGGATCAAATGATGTGAAGTATCCTATTGGATCAAACGTGTAAAGGGCTTGGTAAGATTTAAAATGCTATATAAATTATTATTATTATTAATTATTTTTCTACAGTCTTGGAATTAGAAAGATGCTGGCTGTGAGACCATGGGTCTCAGTGTACCAGGCATCTCTCTAAGATTTTAAATTACATAAGAGTTTTGATTCTGCATCAGCAGAATTTCACACTAGCAAGTTCCCCACCTCAGTGAAATCATAAGACTGGACCAAAGTGAGGGAAAAAAAGGTTTTGCTGAAAAGCAGCTTATTTCTTGTTATATATTACTTTGTAGCCTCTAATTAGTATAGTTTTTCTTCAAAGAGATAAACATATCCTTAAAAATATAGTTTGCTAGATTAATATAAAGTCAATCTAAGAGATAATATACAAACTGAAAGTAAAAAGAAACTAAGAATTAGATTCCTACACACACAATACCTTTGCAAACCCCAGCCTATTACAGCAAATTGTAATATGTATTATTCCTAGTTTTATGAAGATTTCATTTCACTTCATATCTCTTTACCCTAAAAAATATTGGATACTTGTATTTGCATCCTTCTTCTGTTTTTTTTTTCTTCCCTTTCTTGATAGTCTGTAATATGTTAAAGTTGCTTTTAAAACGTGACCCAATGGGCAGCTGAGTGGTGCAGTGGATAGAGCACTAGCCCTGGAGTCAGGAGGACCTGAGTTCAAATCAGGCCTCAGACACTTGACACTTACTAGCTGTGTGACCCTAGGCAAGTCATTTAACCCCATTGCCTTGCCAGAAAAAAAAAAAATTCAACCCTAAAACACGACCCAAAGTTAATGACAATGGATAATGATCTTCCTTGTGAAGACTCTGTGATAATCTCAGAGCTGATCCTGCAATGCTAACACAGTTTTCGGGTTTCATTTAGTGTGAAGATGATTTGGCTGAGAAGAGGAGGAGCAATGAAGTGCTCAAGAGAGCCATCGAAACTTACCAGGAGGTAGCTGACCTGCCAAATGTCCCCGCTGACCTGGTCAAACTCAGCCTGAAGCGGCAATCAGACAGACAGCAATTTTTAGGTAAACCCTAAATAAATTTTAAAAATGGAAATCAGGTCAGCATGAAATGCCTGACTTTGGAAGCAACTGAAGGTCGGATAGAGATGAAGTCTTCAGTTTTATAACTGAGTCTGGGTAGATTAGCTAGTTAATTTTATGAAGGTCACCTATAAAACTGGAGTGTCAATCCTAGCCCTTATAGGAACACTTCAAATAGTAAGTGAAAAGAAGGTGATAAATAGGTTTAAAAAGTTAGAACGTTATAGACCTATAGCATCTGTACAAAAAAAGAGGACAATAACCCTACTATGTGCAAGCAAATAAAAAAATCATGAAGTCTGTTTTTCAGTGTATTGGAGAAGAAAATACTATTACTAATCTCTCTAACCTATCTAGGCTGATACTCTGATAATTGCAGGTAAGGTGAAGCAGCAAGTATACTCAAGCTTAATTTAAGCTAGGCCTTTTGATCTAATTGTATGTGACATATTTATCCATAAACTAGGAAAATTAGTTATAAGCCATATAGTAGATAAATGCTTTTTTGGTTGAAGGATGATATACCTGGGAAAGTTATAATATATCATTGTGATATATCATCAGTCATATGGTTCTTTAAGGTTTGCAAAATGCTTTACTTATGTTAACTTATTTGAAATTTTCAACAATACTAGGAAATAAGTACCACACATACTATTGTCCCTATTTTACAGATGAGGAAACTGAATCCCCTGAAGGTTAAGTAATGGACCTAAACTTGCATGACCAGTAGTAGTAGTAGTAGTAGTAGTAGTAGTAGTAGTAGTAATAGTAGTAGTAGTAGTAGCAGTAGTAGCAGCAGCATAATAATAATAATAATAATAATAATAATAATGCTAATAGTAACAATAGGCATTTGTAGAGCACTTTAAAGTTCGCAAAGCAATTTACAAATATTATGTCATTTTATCCTCATCACCTCTGGGAGGTAGGTGCTTTATTATCCTCATATTATAGATAAGGAAACTGAGGCAACAGTGATTACATGAATTGACCAAAGGTCACACAGTAAATGTCTGAGACTGGATTTGAACTCAGATCTTCTTGATTTAAGCCCCAGAGTTCTATCCATGTGTCACCTACATAAGAAACTCCAAAATATTGAGAAAGTAAAGAATTCTTGGGTATTTTTGTTGTCATATAAGTTCAGGTATTCCCCCAAGATTTTGTCTTTAGCACTCTTCTCTTCTTATACTCTTCTCTCTTGATGTCCTGTCCTAGAGTTGCAGTTATTACCTCTCTGGAGATGATTTCCATATCTGTATATCTAGCCCCAATCTCTCCTGAGTTTCGTTTTCTTATTTCCAGTGCCCTTTTAGACAATTCTTTGCAAACTTCATCATTCCTATAAGAACTTGTGGTCCCCTCAGCTTCCTCCTTCTGCTGATGCTCCATCGTCTTGTCCCGCAGATGAACTCAAAACCATAGCCCATAGCCAAAACCCAAGCTCCATAGCCAAAGAGTTGCCAGGTCCCATCTATTGTTCTTCTGTCTCTCACAGATATGAGATCTCTTAGCTTATCTCTCCTAGTCGTCTACTCACACTGCCACCTCTCTACACCAGTCACTTCTCACCTAAATTATTGTATTACCTTCCTAATTGGTCTTCCTTTAATAAGCCTCCCCTTTCAGTTCAATGCAACAGACACTTACCTCCAGGTCCCTAAATTAGGCCCTGACATGTATGGAAGGGAGATAAAAAGATAAATGTGACACAGGCCCTATTCACATGGAGTTCTCTGGTCCATCCTTTACTTAATTGCCAAAATATTTGTCCTAATGTGCTCATCTGACCACAGCATACTTTTTGCCTGTAGGATAAAATACAGTACAAATATTTTCATTAGAATTTAAGGCCCCTGAGAGTCTGAGTCAAAACTCCTTTTTGAACCTTATTTCACTTTACCATCATGTATTCTATCTTCTATCCATATTGGACAACTGACTGCTCATTCTGTATTCTCCTGCCTCAGAGCATTCTCATAGATTATATCCAATGCCTGCATTTCTACCTTTTGAAATCCTCCTCTTCTGCTATAACCTAGACAAGATGTCATCTCCTTGTGGAGCCTTCCCTAATTATCACAGCTAAAGGGAAAGGATTGTTCTTTCCTTAAATATTCTCAGAGAATTTTTCTGGATCTTTCCTTTGCACTTTTCACTTTCTACCTTGAATCATACTTATTTATAGTTATGTTGTACCTCTCTACCTTCATCCCCTCAACCCAGTTAAACTGTAAGTTGCTTAAGGACAGGGGTACCTTGTTTTGTGCCCCTCCACCTAGCACTGTGCCCAGTGAGACTATGAAAGTCACTCAAAGCTGTCAGTAGAGAGGTGCCATAGACAACTCTATAATACTATATAATTGTAAAACATAGTCCTATCAGTGTTGGTAAAGTGACTTTCTTCATTGGAAGCTGTCTATGTTGATGATATCATAGCCCCAGTCCATAGATATAGATATATATAGATATATATAGATATATAATATACCTATGCATACATATATACATACACACACAGATATGTATACATATATGTATATATGTGTGTATATACACATATGCATACACATATCTTAGTATGTATGTGCATGAATGTGTGTATTTGCATATAATTAGTGAAGGTATATTTCCAAAAATTTTTTTTCTTCATCATGGAATATGACATTAATTAGGATCATAGAATTACAGAGTCCCAGGGTTGAAAGGGACTATTATAGAACTCACTTTTAGCCTATATTACTCTTTGCATGTCTTCCTGGGCCTCCCATCTATGTAGCTTCTTCCCCCTACCTAATCCTCCTGTCATATATTTCCCCATCTCCTTCAGAAGACATATTGTATTCTATCTGAGAGCTTAACTTCTTTTATTTAAATCTCTTAATGTTTTCAAAATAGAAATATCCCCAGAAAGGCCCCCAAATGTACTCTGTATCAGATGTTTTCCAAATCCTGCACCATCCTGGTCACTCTCCTCAGGTTGCGTTCTGGTTTATGGATTTCTTTCTTCAGATATATACATAAAGCAAACTGCAGCCATCCAGGTGTGATCTGACCAGAGCAGAGTAGAGTGGGACTATTGCCACCCTTGTTATACTTAATCTTAATGTGGCTGAGGGCTGCATTAGCTTTTTTGGCAGCCACAGCATGCCCTTGGCTCATGTAAAATCTCCAGTCTATTAGCTTTTACTCAGACCTTTTTATGTTCTTGTACTGTTTTTCTCAATATAGAAACACCATTGCCACATTTTCACCTCATTACTTATCTTCCTAAGTGCCATGATGAATAACTATGCTTGGAAAAAGATTCCTTGTATCCTAGCCGCTTCTTAAAAGTCTACAAAGTACATAATCACAAGTAACTCCTCATAGAAAATAATTACTTTTGACATTAGCGAATCAAGGACACTTGTAAAATGTGTTGCCACAAATGTTGACTTAGATGATGTAGTACATGCTCTTGCCCACCAGAGGGTAATAGAATACTGGATAATGTGGTGTGCTCCCTAAGTGGGTGATTTCTTACCATCATGAAACTGGGGACACACCTGAAATTTCAGTTAAATGTAGACTTATAGTAATGCTTTCTCAGGCTCTCTAGTGACTTGTTCGTGGAGTAGGTAGACTGAACTTTTTCACTCCTTTAATGTCTAATAAAAGGGGAAAATGTACCATAAAAATATTGACATATTTTTAGCAACTTAAAGGAAAATGGCACAAAATAAAACCCTGAAATATGAATGTAAGCAAGTATCAGAGGTGGGCTTAAGAACTTCTATAATTGGTATTCTATTTTTCCATGTCTCCAGAATAAGCATTGCTATTGCAACTACTTAAACTTAACAATGAGGACTTCCTAATAAGGAGCTACACATTTTAGAGTGGTGACAGTGCTGGTGGTGATGGTGGTGGTGGTGGTTGATAAACTGCAGAATTACATTAGGAAGACCTGAGTTCAAATCCATTCTCAGACATTTATTTAACGTGTGATGCTGGGCAAGTCAGTTAACCACTGTCTGCCTCAGATTCCTCACCTGTAAAGTTGAGATAAGAATAACACCTACCTTTCAAAGCTGTGAGGGTAAAATGAGATATTTGTAAGGTGCTTTGCAAACCTTAAAGCACTATGTAAATTCAAACTGTTATTGTTGTTATTATTAATTTGACATATGGCAATAGTTGAAGGAACTGAGTATGTTTAGGATGGGGAAAAGAAGATTCAGGGGCAACACAGAGCAATGGATCTGGAGTCAAGAAGACCTGAGTTCAAATCTAGTTATGTGATCCTAAGCAAATCACTTAATTTCTGTCTGCCTTAGTTTCTTCAGCTATAAAACGGGGATCATAATAGTACTTATTTCCCTGGGTTGTTGTGAGAATCAAATGAGGTAATATTTGTAAAGTGCTTAGGACAATGCCTGGTATGTAATAGGTGCTTAATAAATCTTTCCTTTTTTACTTTTCCTCTGTCTTCTTTCTCTCTCCCTCCCTTCTTCCTTCCTTTCTTCCTTCTGTCCCTCTTACCTTCCACTGGTATAAGTTGCAAAGAGACCACTTTAGCCTTGATCTCCTTCTGAGGTCTTGAAATGGAAGTTATTTGAACAGTTTTGGTATACGTTATAAAAGGGATTCCTTCACAAATGGATGAGATTATATGGCCACTGAAATCCCTTACAGTTCTCCAGTTCTATGATTCTATGGTATTTAATCAAACATTTTATCCACCTTCAGGTTTTATTGAATGATCTCTTATGATTTATAAAAACTGAATATACCCAAGTGTACTTTTCTTCTGTTTTCATTCAAATCAGGTCACATGAGAGGCTCCCTGGTTACGCTTCAGAAATTGGTTAACTTGTTTCCCAATGATACTTCTTTCAAGAATGACCTTGGAGTGGGTTATCTCTTGATTGGTGACAATGACAATGCTAAGAAGGTTTATGAAGAGGTAAACAAACATTTTATATCTCAACAATAAAAAAAGACTTTGCATGAATATTAAGCCAGTCAGTAAACAAGCATTTATTAAGCTCAATGTGCCAGGCACTGTGCTGCGTGTTAGGAATACATATTTAAGCAAAAAGAAAGGCAATTCCTGCTCTCTGGGAGCTTATAGACATAACAGGAAACTGGAAAAAAAAGGAGAGGAGAGTTGGGGAGGACGGTAGACAATATTGGCCAGTGCACCCTCCTTAAATGGAGGCTCTGGGGAGCCATCCAATCAAAAGTGGGGACAGAAGGGGCAGAGGGTACTTCTGAGGACTGAATTCCAGGGCTGGAGTGATCTTTCAGGAAAAAAGATTTCTGCCTGGGGGGAGGGAGAGGAGGGAGAGAAGTGCTCAGTATAGCCTGATGAAGAAATGAAGTTCTTAGATTAATTTGGGATTGTGTTATAATGCCTCTAATACCAAATATAAAGAATCAGCTCTGTTCTTTATACTAAATTATGCTAATTGCCCATTTCCTCTTCTTTTATCCTACTTCCCCCCCAAATTCTGCTTTCTGTCGATTTCCTGATTTTAGTTGCAGACTCTCAATTGCTATCCAATATGTTATGTCACAATATTGACTCTGTGGTGTTAAAATGTTAGGACATTTATTTACTGTTGCATAAGATGCATTTATTTTTTAAAACTAAAAATGCAAACATCAAAGTGCCCATATCTTGATTATAGGGATTCAGTGGACTTTAAAAAGACAGCACAACAGATGGAGGGAAATATTCACACATGGTCTATGTACACACTTCAGTACCATCATTTGTGCCACCAGTGTATCACATAGGCTTGAAAGGACTATAATTTCTTCTTCCTTTCCAAGAAAAAAAAGTAGAATATTTAATGTTCTCTCAATAATAATAATCAGTCAGTCATTTTTCAGTTGTCTCTAACTCTTCATGACCCCTTTGAGATTTTCTTGGCAAAGATACTAGAGTGGTTTGCCATTTCCTTCTATGGCTCATTTTACAGATGAGGAAACTGAAGCAAACAGGGTTAAGTGACTTGTCCAGGGTCACACAGCAAGTAACTGTCTGAGGCCAGATTTGATGAGTCTTCTTTTTTTAAAATATTCTTTTTTCCCAACTACATGTAAAGACAGTTCTTAATGTTCATTTAAAAAAATTTTGGCTTCCAAATTTTTCTTCCCTCCTTCTTTCTCTTCTTCCCTCCCTTTCCCTCGCCTAAAATGATAAGCAATTTGGTATAAGTCATATATATGCAATCATGTAAATCCATTTATATGTTAGTCGTGCTGTGAAAGAAGAAACAACAAAAGAAAAAATGAAAAAAAATGAAAATAGTATACTTCAGTCTGCCTTCACAATCCATCAGTTCTTTCTCTGGAAGAGAAAGACAGCATTTTCCATCATGAGTCTTTTGTAATTGTCTTGGATTCTTGGATTGCTAAGAGCTAAGTCATTCATAATTGATTAGTGCACAGTGTTACTGTTTACAATATTCTCCTGGTTCTGCTCACTTCATTTTTGCGTCAGTTCATGTAAGTCTTTCCAGGTTTATCTGAAATCTGCCTGCTTATCATTTCTTATAGCGCAGTAGTATTTCATTACTTTCATATACCACAACTTGTGCAGTCATTCCCCAATTGATTGACCTTCCCTCAATTTCCAATTTTTTGCTACCACAAAAATTGCTGCTGTAAACGTTTTTGTACATGTAAGTCATTTCCCCTTCTTTATGATCTCTTTTGGATACAGACCTAATAGTGGTAATGCTGGATCAAAGGGTATGAACAGTTTTATAGCCCTTTGGGCATAGTTCCAAATTGCTCTCCAGAATGGTTAGATCAGTTCACAACTCCACCAGCAGTGCATTAATGACCCAATTTTCCTACATCCTCTCCAACATTTATCATTTTCCTTTTCTGTCATATTAGCTAGTCTGATAGGTGTGAGGTGGTACCTTAGAGTTGTTTTAACTTACATTTCTCTAATCAATAGTGATTTAGAGCATTTTTTTGATGTGACTTACAGATAGCTTTGATTTATTTATCTGAAAACTACCTGTTCATATCCTTTGACCATTTAAAAGATGAGTCTTCTTGACTCCAGGCCCTGCACTCTATCCACTGCACCTTCTAGCTGCCATCATCATCATCATCATCATCATCATAATAATAATAATAATAGCAAGCATTTATTAGCCTTTTAAAGTTTGCATAGCACTTTATAAATATTATCGCATTTAATCTCCACAGTGACCCTGAGAGGTAGCTGCTATTATTATATCCATTTTACAGACGATGAAACTGAAAGAGGCAGAGGTTAAGTTACTTGCCCAGGGTACATAGCTAGTAAGTCTCTGAGGCCAGATTTGAACACAGATCTTCCTAATTCTAGGTCTAGTGCTCTGTCCACTGAACCACCTAGCTGTTGTCTTAAACTCCATCCTGCTAGGAATGTGGAAGCCAGCTGTTCATGTATTAATAGGGCATTGACTGCCCATGTCAGGAAAGTTGCAAAAGAATCTTTGGCATATTATATAGGAAATTCATATAAATGAGTTCTGCAATCCCTTTCAACTCTGTGTCAGTGATTTCATAATTCCTTTAGGCTATGAGAGTATTATTTAGGGCATAAAAGAAATCATTTACTAAGTAGATTTTAAAGACCTGAAAAAAAAGTTAATACCACTGAGCTATCAGATATTAATCTTTCTGAGTCTCAGAGTAGAGGGCATTTAAGATTCTCCTAGTGCTTTATGTGCAGTTGCATGGGTCCTTCGTACTTGTCGGGACTGCATATTGCTGATGTGTGGTATAGTGGACAGAGAGCTGGCCTTGGAATTGAGAAAACATAATTTCAAGCCTGACCTGTGGAACATACTGTCTGTGTGTCCGTGGGCAAGATCAAATGACATAATAATTATAAAGTGCTTAGCACAGTGCTTGGCCCGTAGTGGGTGCTATATAGAGCAGCTAGGTGGATAGAGCACCTGGCCCAGAATCAGGAAGACCTAAGTTCGCTTCTTTTTGCGGTTTGGCAGGGAGTGAGGCGGCAGCACCGTGCCTAATCATGTTGCAGCAAAGTCCTGATTCTGGTACTCCGTTTCCCAGCTGAAAAAGATCTAGACGTCTTCTAGAGAAATCGTATACTGTGGACAGGTCTTTGAAAAGTCCCCTCTTAGGGTGAAAAACTTTGGCATCTGGCTGCGCTACAGTTCCAGGAGTGGAACCCACAAAATGTACAGGGAGTACAAGGATCTGACCACTGCTGGTGCTGTTACTCAGTGCTACCGAGATACGGGAGTCCGTCACAGTGCCTGGGCCTACTCCATCCAGATCGTGAAAGTGGAAAAAATTCCTGCCAGCAAGTGCTGCCGGCCTGCAGTCAAGCAGTTTCACAACTCCAAAATCAAGTTCCCTCTGCCCCACAGAGTTCTGTGTTGCCAGCACAAACCACACTTTACTACCAAGAGGCCCAACACATTGTCCTAAGTTCAGAGACAAGGAGGCACCTGTTTTATTTGATATGTTTAAATAAATTTCTCAATTGGAAAAAAAAAAAGAAGACCTGAGTTCAAATCCAGCCTCAGACACTAGCTGTGTGACCCTGGGCAAGTCACTTAACCTGTTTGCCTCAGTTTCCTCATCTGTAAAATGAACTGGAGAAGGAAATGGCAAATCATTCCAGTATCTTTGCCAAGAAAACCCCAAATGGGGTCACAGAGAGTCAGAAATGACTCAACAACCAACAACAGGGGCTATCTAAATGTTATTATCATTATCATTATTATTATTGTTATGCCACTTGACCTCAGTGTGCCATGCACTATTTTAAGACTATAAATTGAAGAACAGTTACTGGGCTATACAATTAGAAGCAATTTTCTCACTAAGAATTCTTTACACTGGTTGATTCACAACTATTAAAGAAAAAAAAAACTTTTCATCATGTAAAGCTAAGGCTTGACTAAATCTACTTCAAATTTTGCCACGTATTGTTTTTGTGCCCTCAAACTAATAAGAAAAGCAGATCGTAACAGCATTTTATCCTGTATTGGGCTGTTGAGGCCTCCTCCTCCTTAAATTCAACAATAAATACGTATTAATTAAGCTCCAGCACCTATGAGGCATCATGGTTAAGATCTCAAACACAGGATCCAGAATCAGAAGATGTGGTTTGAATCTTGGCTCTGCTTCTTTCTTCTTCTGTGTCTAGGCAAGTCACTCCACTTTGCTGAGTATGTTTCTGTCTCTAAAATTAGGGACTAGGACCAGATGATCTTTTACTTCTCTTTGGTCTCTGCATCCTATTATCTAATGTATGCCTTCATCCCGATTAAGAAAAGACACACCTTAACCCGCTACAGAATGAGCTAAAAATGAGACCTTGATTTTTTTTAATATAGCATTTCTAATATCTACAAGTCATTTGGAATTTCAAATATATTTGGAATGAAAAGTGTCAAAACTAGTCTGAGTTTATTATAAAATCTTTCATTTAAAAGTTCATTTTGGCAACTTAAGTTGCTAATGTCTAACACAGAGTTGGGGAACGTATGACCTTGAGGTCTCAGGTTCCCCACTCCCAGCCTATAACAAGACAGCAAATGTTATCTTTGCAGAATTTTGGGATAGTGGGTTTTCTGTTGTTGTTTTCAGGCCTGCTCTGCATTTAGTGATGGCTAGAGCTCTGACAGAGGCACCAAGGGAAGTGTTTGCAGAAGGGCGTGGTCTTCCCTTTGATACAATTGTCAGGGATTAGGGAAATATCCCAAACATTCTCTGAATAGCCCATAATGAATCTGTCATCCATTAATTTATGAAAACCTTTATGGAATGTTTGTACTTCTTCTCCCCTACTAGAGGACTGAGTCTCAGAGATAGGAAGCGTTTTAGTTCATCTTAAGAATCGTCTGTACAGAATTATATTTAATTATACTAAATATGGAAGTAATTATATGCAGCATGGCCTAATTGTCTCTAGTGATAACTTTTGTGAAGCATCAATAGAATGTGATGTTTTCATATCACATCCCAGAGCTGTGGTTTTCTTTGGAGTAGTTGTTTTCTTTCCTTTTTCACTTCCAAGCTGATGAACCAAAACAGAGATTTTTCTTTTCTTATCTAAAGATATTGTGATAGAAAAATGTGTTCTGTTTGGTAATAATAATAATAGCAACAACAGCCGACATTGGTATATTGCTTTAAAGTTTGCAAAGCACTTTAAAAAATGTTATCTCCATGAGCTTTGCTTCACACAATTTTTGAAACCCCCAAATTATTTCGTTTTGGTCCTCCTGTGTAAAATAACATTTTCCATTGCTTGTTCCATTGTGTAATTGCTCCTGCTCAATTCCAGAGATGTTGAGGTGGTGTATCTAGAACTATATAAAATTTGTCTGAATTCTTGCTCATCCGGCATTTAAGAAATGCATCTCTTTGCTATGTGGTCACAGAGGACTTAGGTTAGTGCTTTAGGACTCGTCCTTTTGTTTATGGATTCATAAATACTTGCACTCAATGTTGACTTCTCTTGGGTACACTGTACTCATGTGGCTCAAAGATCCTGCAGCCTAGGTGTGGTCCAAGCTGGTCATGTCACTTCAGAAGCAGAAATATAAATGAATGGCAGCAATGGGGTGGGTTTTAACATGCCTGTGGCTTATTCAGTTCCATCAACCAGTAGTCACTGAGCATCAGGTACATACGTGAAGGAATACGCAAGAAATGGCATCATTTCTGCCTTCAAATATTACAGAAACAGTTGAGGAAATAAAGCATTCACAGTTGGAGAAAAATAAAAAAATTAGGTGACAAAACATTTGGTTCTGGCAGTCAATCCTTTTAGAGTCGGTTGGAAGAGCAGTTCTTCGCATAACTTTGCTCCTTACATGTGAAGCTTTCCCAACAACTATGCCCTTCTTTAGTCAGGCATAAAAATAGGGGAAAGTACTACAAACCACACTTCTTCTCACGATAAGAGCACTCAACTCAACCTTTTCTGAGCCTTTAGGCAAATATTGAGTCAATGCTCATTTGTTTTATAGATTATTTTTTCTAAGTTATTTAGAATAGGGAAATAATAACAGGGTTGTTTCCTGATTATTTTAATATTTAATTAGAAACATTCAGGATAATTTATTTCTAAACCTAATTAATGTTGTGTGTGTGTGATAATTCCTCCATATATAATACTGCACACTACTTTGGATCACAGATTGTGTACCAAAATCTCTCCAGTAATTAATGAAGAAAAAATAAAATTTAAAGCCATCCTGTAACATGATGGAACAAGGGAGGTTGTAGTGAAGGGAGAATGGCGATAAAATACTATTTAGAATTTTCCTTGTTTATTATTTATTCTATTAAAAAATCTGAGTCATCAGTAACTGTCATTGTTCCTAATCACTAGAAACAGAATTGAAATCATATTTGCACAAGTCACACAATATAGAAAGTGGACCCCGTTAATTTCAATAGCTGCCTGTTCTTTTTGTTGTTAAAAATTGTTCCTATCAGAATTATTGCCTGGAAATATTAACGTCCCGTGTGTTGAATGAAATAATTGATCCAATATTAATAAATTCTTTTATGTGTAAGAAAATTCTTTTGTTTTTCACCTTAAATCTCGAGTCCTAATGTAGTTGCCAGTACATCAAGGGCAACCCTTAAAATGTTTGGAAATCATTTCCAGAATTTGGATTTAACTGTGATCCTTTATTTTATGTTCTTGAAAACAGGTTCTGAATGTGACTCCTAATGATGGCTTTGCCAAAGTGCATTATGGTTTTATCCTGAAGGCCCAGAACAAGATTGCTGAGAGCATCCCTTATTTGAAGGTAACTGTCACTGACCTTATTTTTTCATCTTGAAATTCCTTGGAGTCATTTGGATGCCCTTGATTATGCATTATGGATTGATTGTCATGTACTCTCCATTGATTGATATTTGCTGCTGGGTCTTTTCATGAAGATGTGTACCCTCTCGCCATGACCACCATATGCACTGTACAAATTTACCCTACAGTTGAAAGTATATGTACAAAAACGCTTACTGTAGACATCAAAGGGAGCATGAAGAAAATATCTTAAGGAAAAATTCTGAAAATAAATCAGCAACATTATTGCTTTCGGAAATGAGAGAAGATAAAAAAGGAAAGGAATAATTATTTAATACCTTTTAAAAATTAGTTCAATCAGTGCATTATTTCCTATAAGAAGATCAACTATAAATTACTTCAGTGGTCATTGCCATGGGATGGGGGTAGTGATATAACTGCACATATAAAATGAGGTGAAGAATCGAGGCTAACTAAATAAAACATGCTAATCTAAAACATTTGAGTTATGTTAGCAATGTGTTTGACATGGCCAAAGTTATGTTTGACCTTGGTGACTTTGGTTAGCTGGGAAATTACATAATGATACCTTGAATTGTTATAGCTCTTTCAAAGAGCTTAAAGTACTCCATAAAGATGATATCACTTGGATAGAGCTCCAGCCTTGGAGTCAGGAACACCTGAGTTCAAATCTGACCTCAGACACTTGATACTTACTAGCTGTGTGACCCTGGACAAGTCACTTAACCCCAGTTGCCTCAGGGAAAAAAAAATGATATCACTTGTCCTCTCCAGGATGTAAGGAAGCATGAAACCTTCTTGAGACACAGGACTCTGTCCTGGGCTCCCTTTCCTTCTCTCTCCTGGGCTCTCTTGTCCTGTATTATAAATCCTATTGGAATTTTTAACAGACTATCCAATAAACAATTCAATATAATAAGAAAGAACTCATTATTTTCCTTCTTCCAACCCCTCTTCTTCTAAACTCCTCCATTTCTGTTGGGGGTACCCCTTTCTGCCTGGTCATCCAGGTTCAAAGACTTGATATTTATCCTTGACTCATCAGTCCCACTCTCCTGATATATTAATTCAGTGCCAAATCTTGTTATTTTTACCTCTAGTACATCTCTCATATTTTTCTCCTTTCCACTCACGTGACTCCCTTTTGATCTGTCCTCCACCATCTTTTACCTGGTCCCTGTCCATTCCAGGCCATATTCTATAGTGTTTTTCCTAAAATATAAATCTGACCATGTTGTTCCCCTACTTAATAAACTCTAATGGTTCCCTATTACCTCTCTGGTTAAGTATTATCTCTACTGTCTCATGTTTAAAGCCCTTCAAAACCTGCCTCCAACCTATCTTTCTGGTCTTATCATGCATTACTCTTCTTTTCTTTGTACGGTCCAGGAAAACTGGCCTCTTCCATCTGCTGGACTTTGTGTTGATTGTTCCCCATGCCTCCGTATACTTTTTTCTCAACACTATCTCTTCAAATTATTTGGTTTCCCCATTTATTAAATGAAGGTAACACTTTGGCCATCTTGGTTGTAGGAATAGTGCTTTGTAACACAAAGGGATAGGAATAAGGACTAGACCTGGGATTTTACTCAAAAAGGAACTTCCTGAATAAGGAAACTCCCTCTACTGATGGAAATAGATACTTGCCGTAAAACTTAGAGCTTTTGAGACTTGCCTGGAACACTAAGATTTTAAGTGACTTGCCCAGGATCCCACAGCTAAAAAGTATCAGAAGTGGAACACAAACCCATGGATTCTTCTCTCCAAGACCTACTCTCTATCTTCCACTCTGGAGCTGCCTCTCATTTTGTAAAACAAAGCTCTGCATACACAGGGGTTACATATTTACAATATTTTGTCATGAACCTCACGGGGATAATTGTTTATTGGCAGCAATAGGAATAGAGACTGGCTCTGAGAATTAATTGCTTTAAGGAATTCCTAAGTAAGGAAGCGCCTCCTACAAAGTAGGGACACCTTCTCGGCATGTTAGAGTCTTGAGAGTTGCCTAGAGCATTAAGATGTTAAGTGACTTACTCAAGTTAAATGACTTGGCCCAGGCAGTTTATGTAAGGGCAGGGAGACCAGCTATGGGCTCCACTATGTATGCATGATGCTGTCTCCCTAGGAAAGAAGATAACAGAATTTTAAAAAGAAGTCTTCTCCTAAAATATGGAGAATTCAATTTCTTGAAACCAATGTCCTTTTATTCTTTTCCACTTTCCAATTTTTCCTCCTTTCTGCTTGCTTCTCATTTTCAGCCAAGAGAACATGAGGTCCTTCAAGGGAAGGCTTGTGTCATTTTTTGTGTCTGTATCTTTAGCACTTAACCATGGAGCTTTGCACATAGGAGGAGTTTAATCAGTGATTGAATTGAAGGAGGGAAAATTGAGCAGAATGGTAAACAGGAAAGACCATTGAATTTAGAGTCAGAAAAACTGGCTTTGAATCTTGTTTCTACAACTTAATATTGTTGTGACCTTGGGCAAGTAAATTCATTCTACTGGGTCTTAATTTCTTAATTTGTAAAAAATTAAAGTGTTGGGCTAGTAGATCTCCAAGGGATCTTCTAGTTTTAAAACTTCTGGTTCTATTTTGAAACGGGGATTAGAAACTATCTTTTCTAAAATCCAAATTTATTTCCATTTTGTTACATTTTTCTGTAAGTGGTTTTATCAAAAGCTTAGCATGAATTTATTTCCAGAGAAAAGAAATATATCTTTTGGCTGTCTCCATATCACTTCACACATTCTAAGCGTAATTAATTATTTTGGTTCAAGTATAATAGTTAAAGACTGGCTGATAGGGAAGGATTCAGGGGAGGAAAAGGGGATTTGGCAGAAATACAACCAGAGAGGTCCTTTCCTGCAGGGAAGAATCTTAAATCTCTCAGAAAGGACTACAGGCTTAACTACATAATCACTCCCACAGAGAAGTATCTTCTTTATTTTATGACCAGCCCCAGCCTTTGTTAGTGATTGCCTTATTGTTAAGATCTGGACTGTGATGTCTATTTTCTCTAGAGTTGTAAATTTTGATTTATAAACTAACTGCAAAGTCAAAATGAGATCTTTTTTACCTTGCTCTTAAATGTGTGGGTATGATTAGCTTTTTCTTTTCTTAGTTTGCTGTTCCTTTCTTAGATGTAGCTTAATGGATAAAATAAATTTATTTATTGAAATCTCTTAATTCAGTATTACTAAGAATTTTTTTTTTCTTTTTCACCAGGAAGGACTGGAATCTGGTGACCCTGGCACTGATGATGGGCGTTTTTATTTCCACTTGGGTGATGCTTTGCAGAGAGTTGGGAACAAAGAGGTAGTGATCTCTTTGTTTTCTCTTATAGAGGAAGTGGTAGGAAAAAAAAAAGAAAGTTGGTTGTAGAAAAAGAAATACAAAAAAAAATTGCCAGTGGAAATACTCAAAAAATACTCAGGCAACTAGGTGGTAGAATGAATAGAACACTGGACCAGGACCCAACAAACCTGAATTCAAATGCCACCTCAGATACTTCCTAGGTCTGTGACCCTAGGCAAGTCACTTAACTTTTCTCTCCCTCATTTGTTAATATGGGGATAATAATAGCACCTACCTTCCAGAATTATATCAAATGAGGTTATATTTATAAAGTACTTTGCACTTATGTAAGTGGTAAATTATTATAAAGCTTATCAAGTATTTATTAGGTATTTTATAGCATTTAATTTAAGCTAGGAGTCCTTTTCAGTGTAACCCCTGGTCTAAATTTTGAGAGTCCAGTTTTCCCTGAGAATTTATATTCTCATGTTTGACATCACAGTGTGTTGCCAGGAAACTGACTAAGTAATCCCAACGTCTCTCTCAGAGTGCCATGGGAAGGCACATAAGGAAGGGAAACATTGTTTTGAAGTGAAAAGTGTGTGACAATTAGCAAAAGAGGCAAAGTAGTATTAATAGGACCTGACATTTATATTGCCCCTATGTGTGACAAAGCACTTTATATATGTCATTTTGTGGCAAAGAGATATCTGACAATTAATAAAAGAAACAAAGTAGATAAAATTTTAAAGAAAGTACCTTAATATGTTTGTTTTGAAAATTTGCTGTCATAACTTTATTATGAAATTAGAAAGATATAGATGTCTTTTAGGAAGGATCTTTATTTTAAATAATCTATTTATGCACTCACTGTTAAAATTAATGGCATAATTATACTCTGAACTTCTTGGGACAAGTGTTAGGTGAACTCTCATAGCTCTAATGTCTGACACTTATGGCCAAAGGGGGGAAAACAAAACTTATTGAATGTTTCCTTTGTCATAATTACTTTTTTCTCAGTATGATGTCATTTCTTTAATCATAAATTACAAATATTCTAAAAGCTAAAAAGGCAATGAGGAGTCCCGGAGATCAGACTCGGCACTGAGTCAGAAGGACTGAGGTTCAAATTCTACTAGCTGTGTGACCCTGGGCAAGTAATCTTCTGTAAAATGAGGGGGTTTTACTCAATGACCTCTAAGGGCCCATCTTGCTCTATTTTTACAGTTTCCATGAAAAAACAATCTACGCTGATTTCTAGGATAAATGTGTGGGGCTACCCAGGCGTGGATCAATCACTTCTTGAAAGGCAGTGGATTAAGGATCCAAGGAGGAAGCTGCACCATTGTTTCTAACAATTAAATTCTGTATCTACGATGCAGACATAGCTAATTGTAACATAGCTTTATGTTTCTAAAATTAACCAAAAGCATGGCCTCAGTTGTGGGTAATCATGGATTCAAAAAATCAAGGGGGTTTGTGACGGGGAATTTATTGGCAAAAGACATGAACTGATTTGGAGTAATAGAGGTTTAGATAATTGACATTATTTTCGGTTCATGTTTCTATTTTTCTGTATCTCTTCCTACACAACCCGCCATTCTGACAGCTGAAATATCGTGTGGTGTTAGAAGTGAGTTGAAAGAAAAGAGTCAAAATTGCTGACTAATAGGTATTTTGGCTTCTTCACACCTTTTGAGATGTAAATGACCCTCAGTTCCTTTGAATGATGGACAAAGGCAAGATTTTGCTGACAGTATCTGTCTAACATTGAATAAATGTCCATGCCTGATTGATATAAATGCATTTGTCGCACAAGACACATTTAATTTGTCTTTGAACATTACAGAAACCAGAGCCAATGACAGATACAGGAAATCTACATTCTCTTTCACAGCTTGGTTGGAAAGAGCCTTTTGTTGTCTCAATAACAAAACAAAGAAAAATTAGTTCACTACAAAAGCGTTTGTTTAAAATTTAGGATTTAAATCTTTGGGACTGATATACAAACTCAATGAACATCAATATAGAAAGTAGAGAGGTTCATTGCAAAGACATCATGGGTAACCAATATACTAGTACAAAAAAAAGCCCTTCTCTTGCTTTTCTCTGAGTATCTCACTCCTAAAGTTTCAACTCCATGCAGATAACTTCCAATTCTATTCAAAAAACATTTTTAAGCACTTTACTGTGTGTAAAGAACTGTCCTAGGTGTTGAAAAGTCAAGTAAACAAGCATTTTATTAAGTGCCTGGCACCATAGTAAATATAGTAAAGACAGAGATAAAGAAAAGCAAAAATATGGTCCCTGCCCTCATGGACCCCACTCTGTTGGAAGAAACAACCTGCAAAGAACTCTGTGTGCACAAGAGAGATAGAGTAAATTGAAGGCTATCTTAAAGGGAAGCCCCTGGCATTGAGGGAGACTGGGAAAGGCCTCTTACAAGTGAGATTTTTTTTCTGAGACTTGAAGAAGACAGTCAAGCCAAGAAGGGGAACATTACAAACATGGGGGGACATATGAAAAAGCAGAATAAGAGGATGGAGTGTTATGTTCAAGGAATAGCAAGAAGACCAGTGTAGTTAGGTCATAGAGTTGACAGAGGGGATTGATGGATGTATCAGAAGACTAGAAAAATAGGAAGGGGGAAGGTTATGAAGGGCCTTAAAAGCCAAATAACATTTTATATTTGATCCTGGAGTTCATGAAGACACAATCCATACCCTTAAGGAATTTATAATTGTCAGGATCTTTATCACCAGCTTGGACCTCTATTCCAAACTCCATACCTCTATCTCCAACTCCAATTCCCATTGAGATTGCCTTCAATTTACTCTATTTCTCTTGTACACACAGAGCAGGGTTAAAATCCCACCTCTTCCACAAACTACCCCTGTGACCTTGGGAAAGTCATTGAACTTCTGGGCCAAAGTTTCCTTATCTTTCAAATGAGGGGCCTGGGTTAGATGGTCTCTAATGGTGATCCTATTGCCTTTTCCTTGATGTCTGACCAGCACCTCAAATACAGTCTATTTAGAATTGATCTTATCTTTCTCCCAAATTCTGCTTTTTTTTTCTTGACTTCAGAGTATTTGTCAGTGTCACTGCCTTTCACTCAGCATCTGTGGCAGTTATCTAGAAATCTTCTTTTCCCTTCCCCTCCTCTCTTACATAGCTACCTAGTCCTCCATGGCACTGTGTGCAGAGAACTGTGCTAACTAAACCCTGTGAGATATACAGGGGCTGAAGAGGAACCAAGTATTCATGGTATTCGTGAAGCTTTTTTAAAAAAAAAAACTTTTTGACAACTATTTCAATGTATTTGATTTCTCATATGATCCTATGTACTTTATTTTGTGGAATCAGAAACATTATTCTGAGAAGGAGTCCTTAAGATTCACCAGACTGCCAAAGGGATCCATGACACAAAAATTTAAGAACCAAACCCCTCAATATCATCTGCATTTTCCTGTTTCTGGACCTTTGCAAATCCACGGAAAGCCTATTTTGATGGCCTCCAGGACATCCTGGGTTGTTGAAGACTCAATGAGTAGCGTGAAAGCCCTGTCAGATCCTATCAAGCTGGAAAGATGTTAACAGCCTGTATCCAAGAATAGACCATGTCCATTTTCTGTGGACCAGTCTAGTTAAGCTTGAAGAAATCAGCCACAGCCACATAAAAATTTTAACCATAGCAGTTCTCAAAAACTATCTATTAAGTCAAGTAAAGGTTTCATTCATTGTCATGGAAGGAGTATCCTTACCAAGGTAATCACAAATATTTGAGGTATTGAACTATTGACCAAATAGATTTGCTCATATTATTTCAAAGGAATGCCCTTCAGTCTTCTCCCCATTCCTCCCTTCTATCTATTGAAATTCTGTTTTTTTCTTCAGAGCCCAACTTACATACTACTTCTTCCATGAAGCCTTTCTCTATCCTCCTAGTTAATAATGATCTTTCCCCACTGACCTCAGGTATCATTTTTATGCCTCGCTCATGTACTCAATGTGTATTTATTTTATAAACACATGCTGTGTCTTATTTTATATCATAATTATGTTTAAAAATGTCATGTCTCCTTATTAGAATATAAGCTCCATGAGGGCAGAGGGACTATGTATTATTCATCCTTATATTCATTGCCCTGTCACACTGCTCTGCCCCTGATAAGTATGGACTAAAATCTTATATATGGAGTGTTCCAAAAGCTATTAAAGCTTAAAAAGACACTAAGATTTAAGGGTACCCTCTATTAAGTTGAATGGAAGACCCCACAAAACATGAAATTCATTTTTACATGTGTATTAATTCGTAAATATGAAATATACATTAAATGGTATTGTTGACATTGCATTGATAGAAAATCACATGACCTTCATGCCACCAGTTATGAGGCTGTGACATTTACTCACTAACCACTCTGTGCCAAATATTTTTCTAAATACCAAAATGGGATGGCTTCAAAGAAAAGATGTGGCACTTGCCCTCTGGAAGCTTGCAATCAGACATTTGAGGAATTTGTTCTAGCAATTTTGCATAGGATGGAATGGAGGGGGGAAAAAACAGAAGGCAGGAAAACCAGCTATGGGTTATTTCAGTTACCTAGGTGTTAGGTACTAAATACCTGGCCTGAAATTTTAGCTATAGAAATAGAAAAGAGGTGTCCAGAGTTTTCACATTTAGCAAAACTTTAGTTCATACCAAAGTGATTTTTCATGCCAACACACACAAACTCCATTTGCATTGGTGGTCCAGTGTCATTCATAGCAACAAAGGGTGTGTGTGTGTGTGTGTGTGTGTGTGTGTGTGTGTGTGTGTGTGTGTATTTTTCAGAGGGATTGTGTCAGTGTGTCAGTGAGGGGATCCTAATAGAGTAAGATAGTAATACTAATAATAGCATTATTATAGCACTTTAAGATTTACAGAACTCTTTACCTCTCTCATTGTATCCTTACAACTACTTTGTCAGTCAGGTGTTTCTCATTATCCCCATTTTATAGATGAGGAAACTGAGACA